GCCAATCCTTTAGTACGGCACAGATGAACATTCTTCACTTCAACATAGCAAGGTGGCAAAGCATTGTCTTTATGGGTCAACAAAATATCGACTCGAGAATTTTTCCCATATTTTACTTCTCGCTTTAAATCTGTGTATTGATTTAAGTCTCCAAGCTTCCCCGCATACCAGGCTTCTTCTAACAGCTTATTGGGGTGACTTGTATTGGCACCAACAAGTGTTCCATCTTTTTCCACCACAAGTTCCCACCGATATCCTAATTTCCCTTTTGATTCTGGAGGCGCTTTTGACACCCACACCTTCAGCCCAGGCTCTTTAATCCCCAGCATCGCCCCAGAGTTCGCACAATGGGCAGTCACTTCACAGCCATCGTCTAAACGAATATCGGCTAAAAAACGCTTATAACGTTTGATTAAAACACCGGGAAGGAGTGGATTTGAAAATTGCATAGCGCTAATATGAGGCATTTATCGATTTTTGCAAGGTTTTAAGAATGGACGCAAACACAACAAACAGTACTTCCCCTACAGCGGCGATCTTGCTCATCGGAGATGAACTTCTTTCTGGGCAAGTACAAGACGTCAACATTCACTTTATTGCAAACAAACTATTTTCCAAGGGCATTACCTTAAAAGAAGTTCGCGTCGTCCCAGACGAACAAGAACCAATTATTGAAGCGGTTAATGCCCTACGTGCACAATATACATATGTTTTTACAACAGGCGGCATTGGCCCAACGCACGATGATATTACAGCCGACACCATCGCTAAAGTTTTTGATGTTCCCTTAGAACTCAATCTTAACGCAGCAAAAAGCTTTTGTGAAAATGTTCCAGAGGGACTCAATCCCGCTCAAGAACGAATGTCTACCCTCCCCAAAGGATGTCGGTTAGTTTTTTGTCCAGAAACAAAAGCCCCCGGTTTTGCTATGGAAAACGTTTATTGCCTCGCCGGATATCCTCATATTTGCCATTCGATGTTTGAAGGCTTGCTTCCTTCTCTTCAAGCGGGAGCAGAAATTCATAAAAAAGAAGTTCTTTGCGACCTTGCAGAAGGGCGCATTGCCCCACAACTCCAAGAAATTCAAAATACCTTCCCAGAAATTGCCATTGGGAGCTA